TGCTAGAATTAGCTCCTGAGGATGTCTATGCTAGAATTAGCTCCTGAGGATGCCTTTGCCAGAATTAGCTCCTGAGGATGTCTATGCTAGAATTAGCTCCTGAGGATGTCTATGCTAGAATTAGCTCCTGAGGATGTCTATGCTAGAATTAGCTCCTGGGGATGTCTATGCTAGAATTAGCTCCTGGGGATGTCTATGCTAGAATTAGCTCCTGGGATGTCTATGCTAGAATTAGCTCCTGAGGATGTCTATGCTAGAATTAGCTCCTGAGGATGTCTATATGCTAGAATTAGCTCCTGAGGATGTCTATGCTAGAATTAGCTCCTGAGGATGTCTATGCTAGAATTAGCTCCTGAGGATGTCTATGCTAGAATTAGCTCCTGGGATGTCTATGCTAGAATTAGCTCCTGGGATGTCTATGCTAGAATTAGCTCCTGAGGATGTCTATGCTAGAATTAGCTCCTGAGGATGTCTGTGCTAGAATTAGCTCCTGAGGATGTCTATGCTAGAATTAGCTCCTGAGGATGTCTATGCTAGAATTAGCTCCTGAGGATGTCTATGCTAGAATTAGCTCCTGAGGATGTCTATGCTAGAATTAGCTCCTGAGGATGTCTATGCTAGAATTAGCTCCTGAGGATGTCTATGCTAGAATTAGCTCCTGAGGATGTCTATGCTAGAATCTAGCTCCCGGGGATGTCTATGCTAGAATTAGCTCCTGGGGATGTCTATGCCAGAATTAGCTCCTGAGGATGTCTATGCCAGAGATGTAGCTCCTGAAGAAGTCTATCCCAGAATTAGCTCCTGATAAAATCTATCCCAGAATTCTGTCCTGAAGAATTCTATCCCACCACTATCTCTTGAGGAAGTCTATCCCAGAATTAGCTCCTGAAAAAAATATATATCCCAGAATTATCTCCTGAGGAAGTCTATCCCAGCATTAGGTCCTGATGAAGTCTATATAAAAATTAGCTCAAAAGAAAGTCTATTCCCCATTCTTACTGTAGAAGCCTTTCTGTATGCTGAGATTAAACCTGTTTTCATGCAGAGGCAAAGAGTGCCCCCTCGTCCTTTGCAATGACCTTCGTCAGGGAATGACTTTGCACCAAGTTCACTCTGTGGATCCCGTATATTTATACATGGTGATCACATCCCCCTTAATTGCCTGTTATTAGGAAAGATGAAATAAAGTTCAGTTAATCATTCCTCATAGCTGAACTCCCCCATGCTTCTTATCAGCTTTTTTTTTTTTTTTGCACTTCTCTGCACTTTCTCCAGCTCCCTATCATCCTTCTTGCAAGTCTACAAGTCAGGTCTGACTGATTAAAGACAATTCAACGTGTCTGTGAAGGTTCCCATTTATCCTGGTTACGGTACAATGTAGCCATTTGAAATTCGACACATTCAGTTGGACTTGTTCTGCAATGTTGGAGGTGTTTTGTGGCTAATCCGAGCCACGTCTGCAGTCGTAATTCTTCATTATAGCTGACGAAGCGGCTTGGATTGAAACAAGTCAATATGTTATCTGGTAATCTCTGATCTCAGCAGCCCTTCAGCAAGGATGCTACGTACAGACAGGCAGAAGGAGGGAATCGATCTCTGGTATCATGAGAAAGCCATAGAAGCAAGGGTGTAGGACGGTGAAAGCCACATCAAAGGCTAAACCCAAGGAAAGTTAGCCATTTGCTCACCAAGGTACGTTTATAAACAGCATGGTATACAAGGGCCTAAATCAAGCTCACTGCTGCAGCTGTACGCTTGGCATCGGCTTTAACAGCCAGCAAAGGGCTTTTATGGAGCTCCCAAAGTGCTCCCCCCACCCCGACACCCACACTGGTTCCTGGACCCTTCCTTTCCTCTGACTGTGGGAAACTGCTCATACAATGAGAGCAGGAGGAACTCGGGGTACATTCGTTCCCTCCTACGACCCCGGAAGTGAGTTGTATTACATCACTTCCAGGGTCACAGCTGTCATTCCTTGGCTAGTGTAGCCAAGGATGCAGGATGCAGCTATTCAAGCACGATCTGTGCTTGAATAGCTTACTTGGAAGACAGGCGAGACATAGGGGGCGCACTTTGGGGGCTCCATAAAAGCTCCATAAAATCCCTAAAGGGTAGCACGTTGCTGTGCATGGCGGAAAAACACCTAGCCTGACAAATTAATTTTTTCTTTAAGTTTCTTGCTATCACAAGGGGGCAAATGGGTTCCCGATGTGAAAACGTGGGCAGGTGACAGATACTCAATAAAGAGACATTGGGGATTTATTAGAACCCCTATGTCTCTCCTGATCTCCAAGGAAGCTATTCAAGCACAGATCATGCTTGAATAGCTGCATCCTTGGCTTCACTAGCCAAGGAATGACAGCTGTGACCTTGGAAGTCATGTAATACAACTCACTTCTGGGGTCATAGGAGGGAACGAATGCACCCCGAGTTCCTCGTGCTCTCACTGTATGAGCATTCGTTCCCTCCTACGACTAACGACCCCGGAAGTGAATTGTATTACATCACTTCCAGGGTCACAGCGGCCATTCCTTGGCTTGTGAAGCCAAGGATGCAGCTATTCAAGCACGATCTGTGCTTGAATATCTTCCTTGGAGGGCAGGAGAGACATAGGGGGCGCACTTTGGGAGCTCCATTAAAGCCCTAAAGGGTAGCATGTTTCTGGGCATGGCAGAAAAACACGTGAAGTGTGCACCTAGCCTGACAAATGAATTTTTGTTTCTTTAACTTTATTGCTATCACAAGGGGGCAAATGGGTTCCCAATGTGAGAACGTGTGGCAGGTGACAGGTACTCAATAAAGAGACATTGGGGATTTATTAGACCCCCTATGTCTCTCCTGCCCTCCAAGGAAGCTATTCAAGCACAGATCATGCTTGAATAGCTGCATCCTTGGCTACATTAGCCAAGGAATGACAGCTATGACCCCGGAAGTGATGTAATACAATGCACTTCCGGGGTCATTAGTCGTAGGAGGGAACGAATGTACCCTGAGTTTCTCCCGCTCTCACTGTATGAGCATTCGTTCCCTCCTACGGCTAACGACACCCACAGTGGTTCCTGGACCCTTCCTTTCCTGGGGGGATCCCCAGACTGTGGGAAACTGCTCATACAGTGAGAGCAGGAGGAACTTGGGGTGCATTTGTTCCCTCCTATAACCCCGGAAGTGAATTGTATTACATCACTTCCAGGGTCACAGCTGTCATTCCTTGGCTAGTGTAGCCAAGGATGCAGCTATTCAAGCACGATCTGTGCTTGAATAGCTACCTTGGACGGCAGGAGAGACACAGGGGGTCTAATAAATCCCCAATGTTTCTTTATTGAGTACCTGTCACCTGCTCACGTTTTCACATCGGGAACCCATTTGCCCCCTTTGTGATAGCAATAAAGTTAAAGAAAAAATTCATTTGTCAGGCTAGGTGCACACTTCTCGTGTTTTTCCGACATGCAGAGAAACGTGCTACCCTTTAGAACTTTTATGGAGCTCCCAAAGTGTGCCCCCCCCCCCGACATCCACAGTGGTTCATGGACCCTTCCTTTCCTCGGGGGATCCCCAGACTGTGGGAAACTGCTCATACAGTGAGAGCAGGAGGAACTCGGGGTACATTCATTCCCTCCTACGACCCCAGAAGTGAATTGTATTACATCACTTCCAGGGTCACAGCTGTCATTCCTTGGCTAGTGTAGCCAAGGATGCAGCTATTCAGGCACGATCTGTGCTTCAATAGCTTCCTTGGAGGGCAGGAGAGACATAGGGGGTCTAATAAATCCCCAATAGCTGCATCCTTGGCTACACTAGCCAAGGAATGACAGCTGTGACCCCGGAAGTGATGTAATACAATTCACTTCTGGGGTCGTTAGTCGTAGGAGGGAACGAATGTACCCCGAGTTCCTCCTGCTCTCACTGTATGAGCATTAGTTCCCTCCTACGACTAATGACCCCGGAAGTGAATTGTATTACATCACTTCCAGGGTCACAGCTGTCATTCCTTGGCTAGTGTAGCCAAGGATGCAGCTATTCAAGCACGATCTGTGCTTGAACAGCTTCCTTGGAGGGCAGGAGAGACACAGGGGGTCTAATAAATCCCCAATATCTCTTTATTGAGTACTTGTCACCTGCCCACGTTTTCACATCGGGAACCCGTTTGCCCCCTTGTGATAGCAATAAAGTTAAAGAAAAAATTCATTTGTCAGGCTAGGTGCACACTTCACGTGTTTTTTCGACATGCACTGAAACGTGCTACCCTTTAGCAGATGCATGGCGATGCCGTGAAGAATTAACCTACTAATGTGCATTTTTGGATGCGCCAAAAACGCATAGTGCAGCAACATCATGTAGTTCGATTCCATTTTGCAAAAGGGTCAGGGACTTTTTTTTTTTTTTTGCATTTTTATCACACGCAGGGAAGCCCATTAAAAGGAACGGTCTGCCCTGCAAGCGACGCATGGAAATATGCGCACGCTCCTTTGCGCCCGCATGTTGTGAGTGGATCCTCGGTCATGGTCCAGCCTGCGCCTCTTTATACTTCAGCACTTTTAATCGGTGGCTAGGCTGGCATATTGTTCTCTGTTCCACAATAAATGTCACTGAGCAAACGCTGGAATGCTAATTTGTACCTCAGAAGCAATGATGCAGTTCCTAAAACTGGTATTTTTCACTTCGCTGAAATAATTAAAAACAAAAAAAAAGAAAAAAGAAAAGAAAAAAAGGTCTGCACACCAATAACGCACACCTCCTAAACGAGAACTCATACGAAAAACAAAGAAAAAGGCGCAAAACCTCAGCAGCAAAGCAACAAAAATACAGAAGGATTTTGAACACACACATATCAGCTGATACAATAAACAAATCCCGAAGCAGTACAATCCAGAAGGATGACGTAGACCCCGGTCACACTGGGTGCGACTTGGCATGCGATTCGCCATGCGACATGAAAATCGCATTGGCAAATCGCACTCTATTTTCCACAATTACAGCGGTCATATTGATGCGATTCCGACTGGGTTGGAGCCGCACCGGTTTCTAAAAGTAGAGCATGCACTACTTCAGGTGCGACTTGCATAGAGCCTAGGTTCACATCTGTGCGGATCTGCACGAAAATCCGTGCAGCCGCACCACCCACACAGAGAATTGCGGACCCGCGGGCGGTGCTGTTAGTTCTAATGGCACGCCGCCCGCACTGGGAAACACAACCGTACTGGGAACCTCGACTGCGTTTTCCAAAGTAGTGCCAGGACTTCTTCCCTGCGTGTCACGGGGCACGGGAGTCCATTCAAATGAATGGGCTCTCCTGCCCGTGCAAAACCCAGCCCGCATGGCCGCATAGGTGTGAACCCGGGGAGACACCTGTGTCTGGCGAGCCGCACCTCGAGTCGGAACACCATCCGATTTTAAAATCGTGCGACTTCACTGGAAGTCGGTAATACGCAGACTGCTACACCGGGACGTCTACCCCCATGACGGACTTGATGTGCCTTTTATCTACCGTCATCTTGTAAGTGTTTTAACTTTTCTGTAATAAAAAAAAAGTATTACATCTACGCTTAGGGGCGCCTTGTCTTTTAACTAACTCATACTATTAGCTCATTTAATATACCCACATGGAAGGAAAATATATTTTAAGTATATTTAAAAAATATTCTTCCCCAATATATTGACATATATAAGAAATACTACAATTTTGGCCGTATTCAATATATATATACACACACACACACATATATACACATACTGTATGTTGAACTGCGTTTTTTTATATATTACAAAATACATGGAAAATATTTTTTAAAATACTTTATCTTTAAAAATAAATGTAATCTACATTTTTGGAATGCACTTACAAATATATGAAAAAGTGACTTTTTAATATGTTAACAAATAGCTGAATAATATACCAAAATATATATATTTTTTTAATATATTTTGTAATATATAAAAAATGCATTTCAACATACAGTCTATCTATCTATATATACACACACACTATATATATATATATATATATATATATATATATAATTATTATACAGGATTTATGGCGCCAACAGTTTGCTCAGCGCTTTACAATATAATGGGAGACAATACGGTAACAAAAAAAATTCAATACGAGAGGGATAGGAGGGCCCTGATCCTTGTATGTATATATATATATATATATATATATATAATATATATATATATATATATATATATATATAATATATATATATATATAAATGCACACATACATACACATATATATAAATATACATATATATATATACACATATATAAATATACATATATATATATATATATACACATTATAAATATACACATATATATATACACATATATATATATACACATTATTATATATACACATATATATATACACATATATATAAATATACTACACATATATAAAAAATACACATATATATATACACATATATATATATATATATATAAAATATATATAAATAATGACACATATACATAAATTATATATATATATATATATATATAAAATATATTGAATACGGACAAAATTTTTGTATTTCGAATACAGTTGTGCTCAAAAGTTTGCCTACCCCGGCACAAATTGTGAAATTTTGCCATTGATATTGAAAATATGACTGATCATGCCGAAAAATGCTCTTTTATTGAAGGATGATGACAGGGGCAGACTGAACATTTGGAAACTCAGGCACTGCCCAAGGGCCCGGGGTCAGTAGGGGGCCCCATGAGATGCCCCTGGTACCTTTTTCATAGGCTTTTTTGAGTTTGGGCAAGGACACAGGGGCCCCATGATCTCCTATTGCCCCGGGGCCCCCATGAGTTGTCAGTCCGCCCCTGGATGATGATCATATGAAGCCATTTATAATCTAATAGTTGTTTGGCTCCTTTTTAAATCACAATGATAACAGAAATCACCTGAATGGATCAGAGGTTTCCCTCCCCTGGAATGTTCGGCCTTGGTACAGACACACAAGGTGACACACACACGGGTTACAATGCCAGTCCATCTGTGGCTTTTTAAATTGCAATTAGTGGAAAGTTCGGGGATCTCTTGATACTGAGCCAAGGTCAGGTAGACCAAGAAAGATTGCAGCCACAACTGCCAGAAGAATTGTTCGGGATACAAAGAAAACCCCACAGGTGACCTCAGGAGAAATCCAGGCTGCTCTGGAAATAGATGGTGTGGTTTGTGTTTTTAAGGAGTACAATACGGTGATACTTGAACAAAAATGAGCTGTTTGGTGGAGGTGCCAGAAAGAAGCTTTTACTGCACCAATGCCACAAAAAAGCCCGGCTACAATATGCCTGACAACACCTTGACATGCCTAACCGGGCCTTCTTGTGTCACTGATGCAGTAAAGACTTCTTTCTGGCAACTCCACCATGCAGCTAATTTTTGTTCAAGTGTCATCATATTGTGCTCCTTCAATACAACCACACCATCTTTTTCCAGAGCAGCCTGGATTTTTCTTGTGGTTACCTGTGGGGGGTTTCCCTTTGTATCCCAAACAATTCTTCTGTCAGTTATGGCTGAAATCTTTCTTGGTCTACCTGACCTTGGCTTGGTATCAAGAGATCCCCAAACTTTCTACTTCTTAATAGGTGATGTAACAGTACTGATTGGCATATTAGGCTTTGGACATCTTTTAATGTCCTTTTCCATCTTTATAAAGTTCCATGCCTTGTTACGCAGGACTGTTTGAACAGTTCTTTTCTGCTCCCCATGGCTCAGTATCTAGCCTAGTCAGTGCTTCCATGTAAGAGCTAACAAACTCCATTGACTATTTATACACTGACACTGATTGCAATTTAAAAAAAGCCACAGATGTGGGACATTAACCTCTAATTGGCATTGTAACCCGTGTGTGTCACCTTGTGTGTCTGTACCAAGGCCGAACATCAAAGGGGGTGGAGACTTCTGATCAGGGGGTGGAGGCTTCTGATCCGGGGGCGGAGGCTTCTGATCCGGGGGGCGGAGGCTTCTGATCCGGGGGGCGGAGACTTCTGGGGGGGCGGAGGACTTCTGATCCGGGGGGCGGAGACTTCTGATCCGGGGGGGTGGGAGACTTCTGATCCGGGGGCGGAGACTTCTGATCCGGGGGGGGCGGCGGAGACTTCTGATCCGGGGGGGGCGGAGACTTCTGATCCGGGCCATTTGGGTGATTTCTGTTATCATTAGGATTTAAAAAGGAGCCAAACAACTATTTGATAATAAATGGCCTCATATGATCATCATCCAGGGGCGGACTGACAACTCATGGGGCCCACAGGCAATAGGGGATCATGGGGCCCCTGTGTTCTTGCCCAAACTCAAAAAAGCCTATGAAAAAGGTACCAGGGGCATCTCATGGGGCCCCCTACTGTCCCCGGGCCCTTGGGCAGTGCCCGAGTTTCCAAATGGTCAGTCTGCCCCTGTCATCATCCTTCAATAAAAGAGCATTTTTCGGCATGGTCATATTTTCAATATCAATACTGCACTGCACTCATGTAATCACGGCAGAACAAATCACAAACTGCTAGAGCCAAGCAGCCTCAGCAAAGCCCTGATTATCCCCCATTCACTGTCATTCCAGACAGCCGATTATTTAAGGGCTCCTTCGCATGTGTGGCAGCCCTTGCCACCCCCTATGAAAAGTGATCTGCGATGGATCACTTTTCAAAGCGGTTTGACAGGAGGTAAGGATATGATATATTTCTTCCTCATCACCTGATTTAACCCTGTAAATGCCAAGCAACAATTGCATGCGCTGTGCGTGGGTGCGAGGCAGTTAATGGTGTTTCCTCCCTACGTTTCTATGGGTCATGCGCAGTGGCAGTAACGCCTGCTGCTGAATGTTACATGTCGTTTAATATTTGTCACAGCCGTGAAGCACAGCATTGCAGCCCTGGCAACTGTACAGCTCTGTACACAAACCATGGCTCAACCACATACTTTTACCACCCCTCTCATGTGAATGAACCCTTAAGGCGGCCTTTCTCAGCAGTTATATCCCAGAAGAACCCTTTAAATCAGTGGTCTCCAACTTATGGCCCCCTCTGAATAGTTCCCCAAGGGCCAGAAAAAGGTATGCAGAGGGCCAGAAGTTGGAGACCACTGATTTAAAGGGTTCTTCTGGGATATAACTGCTGAGAAAGGCCGCCTTAAGGGTTCATTCACATGAGGCAGGGTGGTAAAAGTATGTGGTTGAGCCACGGTTTGACCACCCATCTGGAAAATGACATGCAGCCGCTCAGAGTGTACAGTATGCATACCTTTTTTCTGGCCCTTGGGGAACTATTCAGAGCTGTACACTCTGAGCGGCTGCATGTCACTGTCCAGGTGGGTCACTGTACTGCTGTTCCTAAAACATTAAATGAATGAACATATCCCTGACATCCCTTTAGATGTATATCCTTGCTGGCCACTGGGTGCTGCAGGCTTTAGCTGTGCTATCTGCTGATCAGTTGCTGGAATCAAGCAACTGATCAGTAAATTTCCCAAGTAAACGTCTGCAGGGAGAAGCAAGCATATCCAAAGGGAAGCCAGGGATGTCATTGGCCTGCCCCTTACATCTATTCATTTTCTGTACCATCATTCATTTTTGCTCTTTGCCATGTGTGAACCTGATCTTTAGGACTGAATGTATGAAAGAACATATCGTTGGCATCCCTTTTAGATGTGTATCCCTTCTGGCCACTGGGTGCTACAGGCTTTAACTGTGCATTTTGCTGATCAGTTGCTGGAACCAAGCGACTGATCAGTAGATTAGCCAACTAAGGTCTGCAGCATCCTGTGGCCACAGGGGAGGGAGCATGCACATCTAAAGGGATGCCAGGAATGTGTTTCATAAAAAGCTTGAAGCAGGAAGCTGTGATGTTTCCTCCCAAAAAAAACGCTCTAAAACCATGGAGCAAAGACCAGCAGAAAGACCCAGCGATGAAAAGAGTTATTTACATTAAAAATGGTAATTGCATATTGATTGGAGGGGGAGGAGAGGAGGAAAAAGGGGAGGAGTTATATACATAAATTAAATACTTCAGCTTTAAAAAATGTAAATATATCTGTTTAAATGTACACTTCAGTGGAAGGTCAGGCCTCAAAGTACCTACCAAAGAAAAAAACTTCACCGCTCAGGGCTTTCGTTCCATCCAGGCCTTTGAGACCCTGTAAGT